AAATATATATATATTTAATGTTTTATTGTGAATTATATGGTAGTTTACATGGGAGAACTTTAGTTTTACATTCATTCCATTGTATATCATCTCAATGCCATGGTTCCAATCCCCTCCATGCATCATCAACCAACCAAAGGGTATATCCTAGAAACCCGCCCCCTACACTTCCCACCCCCCAACCCCCCTCCAGTTTTTGGCCCACAGTCCCTTTCCCTCTCTGGGTCCGAAGTCCCCAGCCACTTCATTACTCCATGTCCTCATCTCTGTCTCCATCTCAGGCATCTCTGTTTCTCTGGGTTGGGTCCTGCTCTCGGCTCTTCTCCGTTGATAGTCCCAGATACCTCCACTCCTAGCCTGTAGAATTAATCACTCCCTTCCTTGTTCCAAAACGTCTACCTTCTCATATATTTTTTAATTAAAATTTGTCTTGCGTATAATTTGTTATTATTGTTGTTAAATACCAGGGAGTCAGTTCTGACCCATAGTGATCCTGTATAGGAGTGGCAGGTAGGTTTGAACAACCAACCTTGCGGTTAGCAGTCTATGCTTATTCTACAGTAATTTTATAAATATAATAAAACTTCAGGACATGTTGCTTGATTTTTAAAGTTAGACAGCTGTCTGTTATCAGATGTATAGTAATTCTGAATGTAAGTGCCTTTCAAGTCACTCTGCCTCAGTGCTAATACAATTATTTTAGGAAAACACTTGGTAAGTTACGTTGTTGTTGGGTACCTTCAAGTTGATTCCAATTCAGTGATCCCCTGTGACTGAGTAGAACTGCCTTATTGCGTTTTCTTGGCTATAATCTTTATGGGAGGACTCTTGGTGTGGCACCATAGGATAAGCAATGGACTGCAAACCACAAGGGCAGTGGTTCAAACCCACCATCTGCTCTTTGGAAACCCTGTAAATGGTTCCTATGAGTGAGCACTTAACAACAACAATATGGAAGCAAATCGCCAGGCTTTTTTCCTTCATAGCTGCTGGGTGGGTTCAAACTGCTAATCTTTTGCTTAACAGTTGAATGCTTAAACATTTGTGTCACCATACATATCTATAATATTTTTAGTTGTGACTTTCAGATCAGACTCCTGACCAAATTTACTTTACAACGGTGGTGGTGGTGGTGGTGGTGGTGGTGGTTGTGTGCTATTGAGTTGGTTCTGACTCATAGAGACAGTGTATAAGTTTTCTGAGGCTGTATATCTCTACGTGATCAGAAAGCCTCATCTTTCTGCTGAGAAACAGCTGGTGGATTCTAACTGTGGACCTTGTAGTTAGCAGCCCAATGTGTAACCTACGACACCAACAGAACTTCTTTATAATAAATATTTTAAAATATTGTGTTGTACATTTACACAGCAAATTAGCTTCCCATTTAGCAATTTTTCTACAGATTATTCTGT